TTCATCCCACTGTAGTGCTAAAGCTCACGATGGTATCTTGCGCCATCTGCAACAGTGATTTGGGCAGCCTGGCATTGCCTAATGGGATTACAGCATGGGGGTGGGAGGGGGGAGCTGGTGGGGGTACCGGGTGGGGGACCTCCGAGGGATATCTTTACCTCCTGTCCTTCTATCAGCCTCAGACCCACCTCACTTTCAGAGGGGATGCAGTTTCTTCGTTATACCTTTCGGGTGGTCTTAACGCCTGGGGGTGGTAGTGGGAGGATGGGGGGGAGGGGGACAGACTCTTTTATCTATTTGTTCTCCAGTTTTACTGAGATATGATTGACATATAATGTGTAAGCTTAAGGTGTACGATATATTGATTTGCTACATTTATATATTGCAAGGTGATTACTACTACGGAATTACATTATACTTTCATCATGTCACATAATTACCTTTTTTTTTTTTTGTGGTGAAAGTACTTAAGATCTGCTTTCTTAGCAACTTTCAAAGGTATAATGCAGTATCACTAACTGTGATCACAACGTTGTACATTAGATCCTCAGAACTTACTCATCTTATAAGGGAAAGTTTGTCCCCTTTGACCAACATTGCCCCATTTCTCCCACCGCCCAGCCCCTGGGTAGCCACCACTCTATTCTTTTAGATCTTGCCCCATTCACATTAGCTACTCACCTTCTTCTTCTTTTTTAAAACAATCATTATATTTCTTTTCGTGGGACTACTTTCTTATTATGTTTCTCTGCTTTTACAAAGAAGTAAATTGCATGGGTCTAAACTTATTACTTTAGTTTGTTCATTCATTTATTATTGATCTGAGCATTCACTCATGAGTTGTTTACTGGGTAGCTGGGTGGGTGCTGGAAATTCCAACTTAGAGGCTAAAAAGGAAATTCAAGAACAAGGGGAATTAAATTTTAAAGTAATGCCCTCTTATCTAGAGTACCCTTTCCCTGAAGGTCTCACATCATATCAAGTATAATCTCTTTTTGGATCCTCATAAGAGCTCTCTGAACTTGATATTGGTTGAACTTCTAAGTGCACACACGATGCTCATCGGGTCTGAGATTGTGGCCTAACATGATGTCGCTGTTGGTTATATCTCTCCCCTATAACTGATTTTTTAAGTGAAGCTGTACACAGCTCAGATGCATCATTTCATTATCTATGTGCTCAGACATTTCTAATGGGCTGGCTTATCTTCACTTTTGCAGCCTGAACGCAGAGAAAAAAACATAAGAGCAAGTGCATTTAATTTTAAAATGTTTTACTTGAGTTCAAACAATTATGATCATTAGAAAATACTTTAAAAAATTAATAAAGTTGGAACTCTGAACTCAATCAGAAATATTCTTATTGAGTTAAAAATGATGCTATTAATTCAAGTGATAGTCTGTTTAAACTGTGTTTTCTTTCTGTGTGTATAGCCCGAGTTTGCCAATTTGTTTTAATTGTGGTGGTTTGCTGGAGTCTTTCTGACCCACCCGATCTAGACAGAATAATCAAACCTTGTTCCCAGGATTGGGGATTGTCCAAAGCCTCACCAACATCTTGGTGACTTGTTGGGGAGCTTCATTTTCTCCTTGCTTCAGGTTCCAAATCTCGTTCTGGTCCCACCGTTCCCATAACAGCCCTTATATTTAATTTCCACAAAACCACTTCCTCAAAATATTTGCATGTGTAGCCCACTTTACTGTAGATTTGGGAAAGTGAGAGAGGGATTTACATCACAGATATAAACAAAGTTAAAGTTGGATGCTGGATGCACCTGCCTTTCAAAGTCCCCGGCTTTGCTGCAGCTGAGCCCGAAGCTCCCAAGCATCCATAGACACTCCTTTCTTACTTTTTCTTCCTTGTCTTCCTGCTTTTTCAGGGGCTTTCACTCTCTTTTATCTGTTCCTTCCGTCTCAGGGTATAAAATCAATCTTTTCCCGTGTTTATTTATTTTTTAAATTTTATTTTAAATGCAAAGCAGTTAAGCTCTCACCAGCTCCAACAGCCCAATGAAGGTTGGTGCCTGCATTTATATGTTTAAGGATGTATTCTAATTAGAAATGATCCTTTGAGAGGTCCTTCTGCCTAAGTTCTTGGGAAGTGGCGGTATTCCTCCTCATTTCTGTCTGGAGGTGAGCATGGAGGTGGGGAGAGAGGCATGCCACATAGAGAAGAGAGTTCAAAACCATGGCTTGGGCCCAGTCCAGTTTTGAATTCTGGCTTTCACTTCCCGGCTGTGTGGCCTAGGGCAAGTTATTTGACTTTCCTGAGCCTGGTTCCCTATCTCTAATGTGGGGATAATATTACTTTCTTGCAAGTTGTAGAAAGGGTAAAATTGGATAACACACAAGTTGCAGGAAGGATAAAAGGGAATAACACTTCTAAAGCACCTGCCTGTGTGCAGAAACTCAACAAATTAAGTAGTTTCCTTCCCGACACATGCTTTCCTTGAGGGCTACATATGTAAACATTAAATATTTATAAATTGCATAATTCAAAAAATGAAACTTAAAAAGGAATCTTACTCTGGATTTTTTGATGAAACAAATAATCATCCCCACTTGTCTCTGCTGCAAATCTGTACTTTTATGTGCTGCTTATGACATTTAGGTGCATTTCTCAGCACAGTGAGACTTGATTGAACCCCAACTCTGTATGCAGCTTCATAGACGTTGTAAATATTAGGTATTGATAGTGTGATTTGAACCCAACTAAGTGACTAAGGCCTAGAGCTGTCCCCAAGGTATTACTTGCAGATGGGCCTGGCGAGCCGAATGGGTAAAGAGGACATAAACACTAGTTAAGGCCTGTGGTTTGGTCTGATGGCACTCACACAGCACAGTGAGAATGGGTATTTTACCAAAAGAAAGGACTTGCCATCTGTCTTCCTCTAAAGCAGAGCAGAGCATTGCCTCTGATGAGTAAGTGGTAGTTGTCAATTAGGTCGGTTAAACATGGGCTAAGACAGCCTGTGTGCGTCCCGAGAGGCTGGATTTTAAATCCTGGGGTGCCAGGGTTTAATCTTAGAAACAGCATCCAGTGGAATATCTCATGTTCTTAGGGGCAGGAAAGAATACACTTAAACAAAAGAGATTTTTTTCCCCGCTATTGTCCAGTCAGTTGTCTAGGGGTCTAGCCCACGGCCTTTTGTATCACCTATGAGCTAAGAATGGTTTTTGCATATTTAAAGCATTGTAAAAGGAAAAGAAAAATATGCAATAGAAACCATATGTGGCCCACAAAGCCCAAAATATTTACACTCTGGCCCTTACAGAAAAAGGTTGCTGATCCCTGGTCTAGAGAGTTTGAAATATCTCTGATTAGTGAAGGCAAAAGGTAACGATGATTGACTTTTTCAGTTAGTCTGATTTGTGGCAAACGCTGTCTGCCTGTTTGAACAAAGCTTCACGGGCATTATTTAGGATAAATAGAATCACATTTCAATATTTAACTGTGACCTGTTATCTCCACATGAGGTTATTCCAACTTTGTTCAGGGAACAGTGTCTCTATTTGTTGCTCCAGAAGTAGCTCATACGTCTGTCACCTCCCTCTGAAGGCTCCACCTGTCACTTCCTCAACACAGCTCACTTGCTTGAAGGTTCTTCCTACCCTCTCCCCTGGCCTGAAAGGGGTGGGCAGAGGCCAGCTCAGGAAGGGCTGCTGACATATTTGGCACCTTATTCTGCACATGCAGAGTCTAGGCAAGGATTTTCAGCTGGGGAGTGTGTGATCAAAAGCTAATTAAATATATGTGGTGCAGGAGTAGGATCCCTGGGAAGCAGGTATCTGTGGGGGCTGCAGTACATGGATCGAGCCTCCTGGAAGAAGTGGAGCCCAGACTGGACCCTGCAAGATAGGCATGACTGGGGGAGGGCATAAGCAAAGGTCCAGAAGTATAAGGGAGTGTCTTAGTAGTGTGAAACGAGCTTGGATATCAGTGTGGCCAATTTATGTGAATTTAAGGGGTATGGAATTCCAAATCCCGCAGCCAGCGAGGAGTTGTGGTTACTTATTTTAAAAGGAGCAGTGTGTGTGTGTGTGTGTGTGTGTGTGTGTGTGTGTGTGTGTTGCAGGGTGGAGGTGGGGGGAGTCCAAATGACAGTCACGAATTTGACCTCTATTCCTTACCCCCTAACTCGGTGCTGGGCCCTGGGCTGAGTGCTTTACACAGATCTTCTCATTGAATCCTGGACAAAGGTATTATTATCCCCCCTTTGCAAATGAGGACCTTTGCATTTACAGAGGTTAAGATAACTTGTCCATTGTTCCGAAGTTAATAATGAGCAGAGCCTTGCTGGTCTGATCTAGGAGCCCAAGCTCTCACTTCCTGCCATCTTGAAGCAAGCTCAGTGTAAAACATTTTAACAAAACAGAAAAGAGAAGAGTGAAAAGCAACTGAGATCTTGCCATCCAGGAATGACATTTTGGGTGACAATCCTTCTAGACATCTTTCTATGTATATACACAGAGATATGTATGTATTTTGCATAACCCATGCCCAGATTGCCTAAATCCTATGCCTGCAAAATTTACATAAATGGCACCATACTATATAGCCTAGTTTTTTTTTTTTCCCACCTAAAACTAATTTTCTAATTTTCCTAAGTGGGTGTTTAGTATTTCATGTTATGACTGCACCCACATTCGTGTAACCAGTCCCCTCTAGATCATTTCAGTTTCTTTCTTTTTTTTTAAGATTTATTTATTTATTTGAGAGACGGAGGCATGCGTGAGTGCAGTAGGGGAGGGGTGTGGGGGGGGAGGGGCAGAGAACGATGTAGAGAGAGTCTCAAGCAGATTCCCACTGGGTGCAAAGCCCAACTTGGGGCTCCATCTCATGAACCTGAGATCGTGACCCCAACCGAAACCGAGTCAGACACTCAACCAACTGAGCCACTCAGTTGCCCAATCATTTCAGGTTCCCAAGCAAGGAAAGAATTTGAGAGCTTTTTTTTTTAATTTTTAACCGAATCTCATGCTTTCTCGCTCTCTTTGCAGCATGCCCTTGACGCTGACAACGCAGGAGTAAGTCCGATAGGAAACTCTTCCAACAACAGCAGTCACTGGGACCTTGGAAGTGCCTTTTTCTTTGCTGGGACTGTCATCACCACTATAGGTATCCGTTCATTCGCTAACATCTTTTCCTCTGGGACCCTCCTGAGAAATGGCGCTTGGTCAACGTTTGGTCCTAGAACCGTGACAGCTTGAGGTTCAAAGGAGGCTCATGGCACACTGTCGGATAAATGCAGGGGTTGTGAGTGGTTTTCCATAAAAGGCAAAGCAGACTAAGGAATTTCATTTTTCAAAATGAGAGGTTAGAGAGCCTTTCATTTGAAAGGACCTGATGAAATGGTCAGAGTGGAAAATCAAAATATGGAGTGGTCAGTGGAGTTCAAATTCCTTTTTAAACATGTACTTTTTACTAAGGTTGCCTATGAAAGAACCCCAAAGTTCTACAGTTTGTTATGAAACAGCCGTCTCTGACCCTCTGCCTGTCCTCACCTCCCCTGGGGCAACCACTCTCATCTCTTTTGATTATTTTGATACTCATTTCCTTGTCTTTAAATATCATGCGTGTATTGCCACTTCCTGAATTTTCAGTGTTAGAGATTATTTCTTGACTTCCCGTTGTGGAAGGTGAGAAATTACAGTGGTCCCCTCATCCAAACTTTTGCTTTCCGGGGTTTCATTTACCCTGGGTCACCTGTGGTCCGGAAGTGGATGATCGTCCTCTGATGCTGCATCAGAAGGTCACTAGTGGTCTTATGCTACGTCACAGTGTCTATGTTGTTCACCTCACTTCATCTCACCATGTGGGCATTTTATCACTTCATAGCATCACAAGAAGAGGAGGGGCGAGTTCAGTACAGATACTACCCTTGATCTTAGCCAAAAGGCCGAGAATTGATAGGTGAGTACAGTACAATATGGTATTTTGAAGAGGCCACATTCACAAAACTTATATGAAAGTATATTGTTAAAGTTATTCTATTTTTATTATTAGCTACTGTTGTTAGTCTCTTCCTGTGCCTAATGTATAAATTAAACTTTATCATAGGGATGTATGTATAGGAAAAAATATAGTATATATAGGGTTTGGTACTATCCGTGGTTTCAGGCACCACTGGGGGTCTTGGAACCTATCCCCTGCAGACAAGGGGGGATGACTGTGTTCTCTTTCTTCTTCCCTGCCCCACTGTAAAAGGGTTCTCTTTGCATCCTCCTATCTTCCCAATATAGTTTAATTAGATCAACAGTGGATGTTTACATGATTTTGACCAGGCACATGCTCTTTATAACTGATCCTGTGATCTATGATTACCTCTTTCCTGCACTGATTTTTGTCTTACTATATCTGTTTGTGTCTCTTTTTCTGATTCTTGGGGGGTTTTATATTTTTGTGTTGGGGGTTAACTTTATAATCATACATAACAAACTTAATTTCTCTTCTTTAAGCAGTATTTATTAGTTCCCTATCGTAGGCGATGACATCTCTTCTTCTCTCCACACAATTTTAATTGACACCATCCTTTTGATGTTTATTTTTAAATTATTAAATATGCTTATTATTCTATTCGATGATTTGCTCACTTCAAATGGTAACTCTTGGCTCTCAGCTATTATGTATAATGCAGTCAGTGAACTTAGCATCTCAACTTCTTTCGCTCTTGGGCTGTGGATTATTACTGACTGTATCATTCTATAATGTCAGAGTATATGATTTACATTCTGTTCTGTTACCCTGATATTCGCATTTGTTTTAGTCACAGTTACAAAGTTACATATTGTCAGTGTTCCTCTCTAGTCCTTCTGTGGCTTTCCCCATCATCACTTGCTCAGCTGAAACTTATCTTCAAGTAGTTGCCTTAAGAATAACTCATAGAGAGGCGCCTGGGTGGCTCAGTCATTAAGCGCCTGGCTTCGGCTCAGGTCATGATCCCAGCATCCTGGGATCGAGCCCCACATCGGGCTCTCTGCTCCGCGCGAGGCCTGCTTCTTCCTCTCCCACTCCCCCGCTTGTGTTCCTGCTCTCGCTATCTCTCTCTCTCTGTCAAATAAATAAATAAAATCTTAAAAAAAAAAAAGAATGACTCATGGGAGCAATATTCCCCAGTCCTTGCACTGCTCAAAATGGCAGCCTTACCTTCCTGGGGCAGTGTGGCTGGAAATGAAATTCTTGACTCACATTTTCCCTTTTGAGGGTCTTCTGGGTGATAATCCACTCTTTTCTGATATCTGTGCTGCTGTGGAGAAACCTGATGCCAGTCCAAGTTTTTCCCCCTTTTATAAATGATTTCCCCTTTTTGCTTGGCTACTCAAAAGAATATTTATCTTTCATCTGATAATACTATTAGGCTTTGTCCCTTTTATTTCAGGAAAGCATTCTTTTTTTATTCTCTTTTTTAAAAATTTAAATTCAATTAATTAACATATAGTGCATTATTAGTTTCAGAGGTGGGGGTCAGTGATTCATTACACCCAGTGCTCATTACATCCTGTGCCCTCCTTAATGCCCATCACCCAATTACCCCATCCTCCCAGCCCCCTTCCCCTTCAGGAAAGTGTTCTTGATTGTCATCTTTAAACACGTTCTCTGCCATGTGGTTTTGGTTCTGTTCTTTGGGGATTCTGACTATACGTGTGTTGTCACTTCTTTCCCTGTCTTCTGTGCCTGTCATTTCCCCCTCTACTCCTTTTTAACTCATAAAATGTGGTTTCCATTTTGTTCATTTTATCTTCTCTATTTCTTTCCTGTTTTTGCACGGTGCCTATTTTGCCATGTACTTCCTCCAATTTTATTTTCATTTTGTGATCATTAGGGGACTTTTTTCCCTTCATGGTTCTTTCCTGAATTCCATTAGCTCACATTCCATTTTTCCTTGTTATCTCTTCGATTCTTTCCTGATTTCTTGCTTTTCTGCTTTGTGGTTTTGCTGTGAAGGTTCTTGGAGGTGATTACTTCATAATTGGTCAAACTTTTTGCCTGGTTGGGGCAATATTTTTCTGCTGAGTGTCTTTCATCCATTGGTAAGTGTTGCTGCTCCTTCCACATTAAATAAAAAAAAGCAGAAGTTCTATATTTATGCTGGATGATTTCCCTTTTAAATACTTGATGCCCAACAAGCTGGATATTCTCTCTTTGGCAGCAGAAAAGTTGGGGATGTGCTACCTGGAAAATTACCCTACCTCTCCTGGCTCTCCTCTCCCCAGCCCTACATAATCATTTGGCAGATAGCTGTATCAGGAATATCCAGCTTGTTGGGCATCAAGTATTTAAAAGGGAAATCATCCAGCATCTATGTTATTTTTTGTTTAGTCCTGCCTCTTTGATTTTTCTGAACCAGATCATGTTCAAGGGGGCTTCTGCTGCTCTCTCTATTCACCCTGTTTTCTATACTTGGTGCAAACAAGGATATCTTTTTTGAAGTTCAGAATGAGACCCTCGCCTTCATAATTGGATTTTTGCTGGCATTTTCTAGGGTTTTCCACCGGTGGGCCCTTTCTTCCTTCTCTGTGCCTCTTCTCTTTATTTTTTCCCATATGGCATCCGTCCAACTTTTTTGGTAATCCTTACACATATGGGGGAAGCTATGGATAAAATTCCTCTCCCAGAAAATGAGAGTTTTCTGCCCCTCTACAAAAGTGTCGTCACACTGCAATAAAAATCCTCATTCAGAAGAATGGGAGACACATAGCATTGAGAGGTGGGAGGATCTCATCATTAACACCCTTTATGCTCTCTGGGAAGACCTCCCTCATCTGTTGCTCTCTGAGGCCCAGCTCTGCCTTCTGGGAGGTTCTTCCCTCTCCCTAACCCTTCACAACCACCTCTTATGTGGGTGTTGGATAGTGTGCCCTCCTTGGGGGATGTACATCTTTGATGATCAATTTCCTATTGGTGCAAATTTAAGAGGCTAAGGATTATTTTAGAGGCACAGGCTTTTGTTACTGTTTTTAGACCTAGCCTTTAGGACCTGTGTTGTTTCATTCAAAAAGTTATATGCAATAAGAAAATTTGGGGTGCAACAGAATTGGCATTTCTTTTTAGAAAGTCTTTTAATCTAATTATATGACATACCGTGTTCAGACTTGCAAATATACAAATATATTAAGATTGGCTATTACAAATATTGGAGGTGTGCATTGCACTAGTGGGTTTGGGGCCTAGGAGCCTTTTGACACTCTAGACCAGACTGGATCATTTTAGTCCACAATCTTACAGCTCCAAACACAGGAAGCAGGGTGGCCTGGCACCATTTGGTATAGAACTCAATGACACCCTAGAGCATCACTGTAGTGGGTCAGAAAAGACCAGTCTCAGGTTAAATTGTGTTCATCAGCCTGGTTTTACTAAGATGAGGAAATGTGTCATGCATTTTAGGAGGATTTATTGTAGAATAATTAAAACTGAAGAAGTCTGAGCCACTTCAAGAGGGACATTTTGGGAAATGCCCTCCAGTACTCAGTGTTGGATCCATGAGACATTAGTGTATGTTAAAGAAGACAGAAAAAGGAAAATCCTAATTTTCTTGCTTTATAAAATAGTTAAATCAGTAGTCTGTAGGAGGCACTGAAAAACACTATAGCTTTGTTGGAATGCACACTGATGGTATTTATTGTGTCAACTTGTTAGGGTCCCAGGGGCTTGGTTTATTAAACAACAGTGTTATTGACCACATGACCTTATGTGATGGGGAATGGTGGTGCCATCTGCCTAATGAGAAACATTTGATATGTAACATTTGCTGCCCTTTGTAATGTATGTACGCTGGAATCTTTGAGTTTGAGCAAATCACTCTTAGTCCTTGGCTTCTGCTGCCTGGTGTCCATTCACTTATACACTCTTGTCTCCTGATAACCAGTTCCTAAGTGTTCTTCTTCCACAAGCTTGGCCTCCAGGCTTCAGGGGATGAATCGCATTTCCTAAACCAAGAAATCTAGTGCTTTGCCTGTGTCTGGCCACAGTCCTTAGTTCAGAGGTGGACATGAGATCTAGATTAGGCCAATTAGAAACTCACTTCCTAGGCTTTTGCTTAAGCTTTGGAGGAAGTGACTTCCTCTCTTTCTTCCTGGAGGTAAATCTGGAAAGAGATAGTAGGCCCATGACTGGCAGTC